ATACATAATAAATAAACAGTACACACACATATTATGTTAAAGGTGGGGTAAGCGATTTTCCAAAAACGTTTTAGAAAACTGATTCGGGCCGACTAGCAAAACAAACTTATAGCCAATCATCAGTAAGGGGCGTGTCTACTCATGATGTGGAGGAGAGAGAGTTCAGTGCACAGGACGGACATTAGCGAGCCAAGCGACAGAAAGATAGAGATGGCAGATAAAAAACAAGAGGAGGAAAACGTCTGTGGAACAAAAGGCGGCTCAAGGCAATAAGGCAAGAAGTAGGACCCGTGTAAATATTGGAGCAGCTTTCCAGCGCTGGAGAGAACTCAAGGAGCAGAAGGCCTGCGATTGGACACCGAGGTTGCTTTGTTTCTTCTCGATTGGTGTGTAACACCGTGTCTGCGCCGCAACAGCTAAAGTCTGTCTAGTACACGGGACGTAACAAAGCGACCGTTACGAATAGAACGCAGCAGCAGTTTTCTGTCGGGGATTTGTTGTGTTGTCAACATTGGCTACCAGAAATCACTTACCCCACCTTTAACAAAAACTTTTATTTTGAATGCGATTAATCACGATTAATCGTTTGACAGCACTAGAGTGAAGCTGTTTCCCACAGACATCAAAAACAAGACACACATAGAATTAGGACATAGGTTTCTCTCTTAAAAAAACACTATTTACTCAAAATATACCAATAGAGCCATTTCTATCCAATGGTTTTGTCATTTTTTAAGCTTGTTTAAGGGCAAAACTTTGACATAGGCCATAAGGGACTGCAAAACTGGATGTTAAAGAAAACTGACAAAAACCCAAGGAAGCTTTATGATTACATTTCATTGTATTTACTGTTTGACAATGCTCTTCTGTGTCATCTAATAACAAACTTTAAGAAATTTGGATGATTTGGAAATTTGGATGAGAACAGAACATGCAACACTAAAGCAGCTCACCCACCCTTTTCCACCAGGCCAAAAGAGTTTCCTGGAAGACGCAATGTCACTGCAGCGTTAAGGCTTCATAAAAAATTGAATACTTAGTTACTGAAAAATAACTAAGTATTCTGTTCAGAAAGACAAAACGTGCTGAACAGTCTGCACTATTCAGACAAATTCCCTGTCATGCAAAACAGGACTTTCTCAAATTTGAATATGTACCCGAGTTTCACATTTTGAAACATTCAGAGGTCTGAAAATGGAACCAGTTTAAACAGCTTTTATAATCCATAATTTCACAATGACCACAAATAATCACCAACACTAAGAGTGGAAAAAAGGGAAATATCTTTAGAATGAAACAGCATTATTATTACTATGTTTAATGGTTTTATGGTTCTCTGTTTGGGACCAAATATTTAATTCTCCTACATCAGCCTTGAACTTTTTAAACAAGCATATGGCAGAGCGCTGGTAATCCCAGCCTACTTCAATCCGCTTGAGTAGACTCAACATCTGACATTACCCAGAAATCTGCTCCAGTTATTTTACAGGGAATGTGGAAGTTGTTCAGACTGGCATCACATAACATCACACATGTACTGCACGTGGGCTGAATGTCCTGGTTAGGTGTTGCCTCATATACTGTAACTGTGTGATAGTAGGTAAGTTACTTAAGACAAATAGGCTAACAGCTCAAGACACAAACAACCTGAAGAACATGGCCTGTGTGACACCTGCTCTCACCATATGCCATGACTCAATCCAACACACACGGAAACTATGACACACAACTTTCTAGAAACTGAATAATGACTGAATTATTATGAGGTCATAATTAAAAACAAATGGATACTGTAAAGCTCCTTTTGTCTAAGCTACTAAAAATACAATTACTATCAAAAGGATTTAGACCTATGATGAACATTATTAGGCCTATATATTTATTTTTTCTTTAAAAAAACAGTAACGCAATTATGTTATAGAATATTCTAGATTATTATTGTTATTTGCCACGATTCTGTTTACAAAAGTCAGTGTGACATTACCAACATGCAAAAAAAACAAAAAAAAAACAATCTGTTGCCATGTGACAGAAAAACCATAAAACAGAGGACCCATTTAGACCCTAATGACTGTTTCAAGGTTGATATGTTTCTGAAAATATCCGTAATTTAAAAAGCAAGTTTTGTTCAGCTCAAATAGAGCAACCCTAAGAAATGAATTATATTTGTAATATACCTTTATACTTAATGGTTACACTATTTGACTTTTTAGAGCCAAGATATTTGTAGAAAATCTAGGAACGTTTGTTTTGTTTTTGTAATCAACAAATACAAAAACGACAAGAACGTGTTTTAAACTAGATCATCTCAATTTATCATTGGTTCATGTGTCAAACATTTGCCAGAAGTAAAAATAACTGAAATGCTCGAGTCAGCAACTGCAGTTTTTCTACAACTCAAATGAAGTAACATGTCCTTGAGCGCAATTTCTTGATTCACAAACATAAGTCAAGCCTTAGTTTAACCCATTCCACACCTGAAACTCCATATGCAGTCACAATTGAGCTTTTTATCAATGGATCCTTTGTGTTACATGATAAATGGGTGTATTACCTGTTGAGGAAAGCGTTTCCAAAGGCGTTGAGTTTTCGGAAAGGCTTTTTTGGATCCACAACCAGCGCATTGCCAGGTATCATGCCTTCCTGTTCGCCGTGCATAACCGCGATGAAGGAATCCGTCGTCGGCTCGGGGCCTATCCTCATCCCGGGGAAATCCTGCTCCATCAAATGCCTAATGAAGGTGGTCTTCCCGGTCGAGTACTGCCCCACCAGCAGCACCATGGGCTTGTTGTCAAAGTCCGCATCTTCTAAAGCCGGTGAATGGAAGTCGTGGAAATGATAGGTGTCCTCCAAAGGGAAGAGTTTGGTGCGGTAGAGGCGCTTCAGTCCCTCCGACACGTTTTGGAAAAGTTCTGGGTCTTTCTTTCCTTCTTGTTTAGACCAGCTAAACATGATGGTCGTTTACGACGATTCTAATGCGAGAGGAAAAGGCTTCTGCTTTCAAATGTTGGCCACAAACCCAGGCAACGTCCTGTGACTGTCGAAAGTTTGACTGTCCCACCCCTGCACAGTCACCTCGAACGTTACGACGGCTATTTTACAATTTGATCAAACCGCTGAACTATGATGCAACGGCAATATCAGAGATTGTTGCAACACTCCTCTATGAATGCACGTCGCTTAAAGTTGCAGTAATTCGTATATAATCAGATCTCAACTTTCTACTTGTATCTAATCCGACTGCGGTTTGCATGCGGAAATTGAAATACTTCATAATAAAAGCCTCGGTTTTGCAAACACAAACATAGTAGTTTACTCATGCTGGATTACCAAAAGTACTAATGTGAGGGAGGTAGCATTGGAGCATGCATAATAAATACATGTTTGAAGTGAAACCGCCAGATATGGAACATATAGGACCCCATTAAACACCAAAACTGCACGTGGCTCAGAGAAATGAAGGTAGTTAATACGCATGTTTTCTATTTTCTATTGGTCAGTATTGTTTTCAACACTATTCTGTAAAACATGACAAAAACACATTCATTTTAAATAAAACGTAACAGCGTACAACCTAATCATTTCCCCCCTCCGAAATTATATATTTTCAAGGTAAAAAATATTTAACTTTCCGGAACATCAAGACGTGGAGAATATCAAGGTGTCACCATTTGACTTGCATGTTCCATTTCAGCATTTACACCACTAAGACATTATTAAGCCCCATTAAGGCATTAACACATTTTAATTTAAAAAAAAAAAATCTTTAAAATATTGTGAAAAAAATAAAACGTCAGAAATTTAAAACGATTATAATAGAATAAAAATGAAAAGCTAAATGTGTAGGGCGCATTCTACAGAACACTGATTGGACAACAGTGTACTCTTGTGGACACCAGTGGTAATTAGATGGTAAACATACATCTGAGTTGAACAAAACAAACGGATGTAACGGAATCGTTGCTTTATCTCAACTAAAGGAACGATTGCACTCGCATTGAAACGTATTTATTTATTATTAAATAACACATATATCAAATTATTTCTAAATGCACATTTTTTTTTTCATTTTTACAAACCATGTTTTTGTATGACCAGTGATGACGACGTAAAAGTTACATATTTGTAAAGGTATACAGATGCATTATACATTATAATATACAGTTCTACGTGCAGGATAAGGCATCCCATAGGCACAGCGCTTCCGTCACATGTGACTCTCTGCAGGTATCAGCTCCTCCACTGGCACTGCAATACACTTCCACATAGAGTGGCACTACACTTCACTACACTACACTAAACATTTATGCAAACTTTACAAAGTTGCATAAATACTAAATAAAGTACTAATGATAATTGTTAAAAATACTCACCCGTGTATCAAAATGCAGAAACTCAGGTTGAAGCAGCATGATGATCTATTAAAGCACACACATGACGGGAAAAAGGGTGAAAGAGAAAAGAGAGTAAAGAGTAGCATGCGTGATCTCTTGCCATTCAGAAGAAGAATGCCCCAGAGTAAGAGTGTTGCCAGATTAATTATTATGCATTCATCCAATAAGTAACAAGTTTATGAAGCCCTTCCCATACTGCACTGTTTGCACATTCATTTGGGTAACATGTCTTCACCTTAAACACCTTGCAGAGTGAAAATGGACCCTGGTCACTTCTGATGGTTGTATTTGTCATGCATTGTCCTTAAAATGAAACCGTTGCTTAAAGTTATGCAATTTCATGACATGTCATTTCAAAAGATATGGTTAATTGCAAATATATACGTCTTTTCTTTGTAGTGAAATATAGTGGATTCAGGTTGATTGGGACATTTTTTCCCCAGTCATCTCAATGGAAGAAAGTGACCCAGTTATGAATTTACCCTTATTATACGGTAATATATAACTACGATACACATAATAGTTGCTGGTGTTATCGTGTTTGCATTTTATTGTGTCGTTTCACCCTTCTATAGTAGCTAATCATGTGGTAGTAGACCACACAGCACAGGTCTGGTCGCTCAGCAGCAGAGAAAGCGAATTGGTCGTTGCGGCTTTCCGTAGATAGATGTGTGGAAGCAACCCAGTGCTGACAACAAATGTAAGTAGCTGTAGAACGACGTGCAGGGCTAATTAACGATGAAATTAAGTAAAAAATATCGTTCCTGATATTCAAAAGCGCTATTACTTTATAAAGAAAATTCTTAAGCGTTCTCTAGAAGATACTAGTTATGCAAAAGAATAATTAGCTGTTGCTGGAGGCTGTTCAGTGTTAGCCTGCCAGCTAACTGAATTTGATCATGTATCTATCAGTATAAATATAGGCTGCTGCCACACTTATTTTAATTATTTTATCAGTCAGATTTGATTATGTAGTGATGATATGATCATGTCAGCCAGAAGAGTAGAGTCAGTTAATCTTGCTGTTTCGAGCTGCAATGATTTTAGTATCTACCCAACTGTATGGCTTTTTTGTGAATACAAATAAATGATAAAACATTTATAAAAAGCTTTTCTGAAAATGTCTCAAACTCTTTAACTCCAAGGAAGCTTTCTGTTTTATATTTATTTTCTGTTTATCTGTAAGGTGTTGTTATAATGCGTTAATAAACTTATTTTCAGCACAATGGCTGAGTGCACTACGTTAGACAGTCTGCTGGAAATGGGCTTTGACAGAAACCGAGCGTAAGTGATGCTTTTTCTACAGTGACACTGATGTTTACACACTGATCCAGTACTTTCCCTCACCCAGTGATTGTTTTGTAGGGAGAAGGCAGTAGCACATACTGGAAACCAGGGCATTGAGAGAGCAATGGACTGGCGAGTCATCATATTTCTTTTTTTATTTTTATTTTTTGGAAATTGCAACTCAATCTGATAGCCAGATTATTATATATATAATATTTAATTAACAAGAATTTTAATCAATTAAAAAAACGTTTTGGAAGTTGCATTTAACATTTCTATAACTGTACAGGTTAATGGAGCATGAGAATGATCCAGATATAAATGAGCCTTATGTTCCACCTGCTGGAAATACTCTCGGCACCACAGAAGTACAGAGCCAGTCTTCTACAGAAACTTCTGAATGTATGTTCTTCTGATGCTCCTCACTTTCAATTTCATGGAAACATTATTGTCATCGTTTCATCACCCAACACAAAATGTTGCTTTCTCTTTCATTTGTGTCTGTAACCAAAACAAAAAACAGCCACTGAAGTTGCTGAGCAAATGGGAGATGCCAAATCACCTATAACAGAAGAAGAAAGGATGGAACAAGTAAAACGGTTTGTGCTTTGTGCAGCTGACCTTAAAACGTATTACTGTAAAAAGCACACATTTAAAAGCTGATAAAGTATTGCTTTCCCCCCACAGACTGGAGGAGTTGATGAAGGCGAGACAGGAGGAGAGGAGAGAGAGAGAGCGAAAAGAGGAAATAGAAAGAGAAAAGCAGAGAAGGAAACATGGCCAAGAGCTGCTGCAGGTTAAACAGAAGCTTCAAGATGATGAGATGAAAAAGCTAGCGGATCAGCGCATGAGAGAGAAGATGGAGGACAGGCTTGCCAAGTAAGACGAACAGGGATGCAATGCCCGTTTAACTTTGATCAGGCACTTTCAGTAGTTTTCACTTGAATTCAATGGTTCTTATTCTTTTTACAGCATTTAGCCAATGCTTTTACTCAAAGCAACTTAAATCACAAATTGCGAAATCATGCAATTTGTCAAAAGAGTCACCAGTGGTCGTTGTAATAGCAGGTTTATTAGGCAACTAGATTGGGAAGCAAGCTAGAGAAGAGGAGGAATGCAGAGAAGATTCTTCCGTTCTCTACCTGATAAAGTAATTTGCAGCTTGGCATAACTATAAAAATGTATATTCATTATAAAAATGCCAATGGAGTTATAAGACTTTTATTCATTTACATGACTTTTCCAGGCCTAGAAATTCTACTTTTAAAATTAAAAAATTTATGAAAATAATTGGCTCTTTATAGAAAAACCCCTAAAAAAAATAGGGGCCCCTAGTCGAGAACCACTAGTAATAACCTGTGATCCTTTCTCAGGCAGCGAGTTAAAGAAAAGATTGCACGAGACAGAGAGGAGAGGGCACGAAAGGTATTAATTAATGCTTTTACTTTGCCCACTTCACATTACTACTGGTATCTTGTGTGCCTGCCTACTAGTGTATATCAAGTATATAAATAATAAATAACAAAAACCTCTGCAGTTTGGAGGCGGTTCATCAAGCACGGGTTTGTCATCGCCCCCCTCTGAAGCCCCTCTGCAGTCTCCACCTGAGAACCAAGGGGCTCCTCCTCCTGCTAAGAAAGACTATGATGACTGTCGGATACAGGTACTGGCACAAAATCAAGCCACCTTTCACTCATAACGCATTAGTCAGTGTCCAAGTAGACCTGAGGGTCCAGGATGATGTTGAATTAAATAGAAACTATTTTTAAGGTACTTTAACGATGAATGATTCCACATATATATATATATATATATATATATATATATATACATACATGTAAAGTCAAACTCCTCTCTTACCCTCCCTTGGTCATAAGGTGCGTCTTCTAGATGGATCCACCTTGAGCACGGTCTTCAAGGCTCAGGAACCTCTGGCTGCTGTTAGAGTCTATATTCAGATGAACGGGGAAAACGGACAGGATTTCAACCTCATCACCCCGTATCCCAGACGTGTGTACACAGATCTAGACATGGAAAAACCTCTTTGTGAGCTGGGTAAGAACTTATAGAAGGTTGATGTTAACTAGTGATATAGAACTAAAATTATCACAGTTCTTTGTGTCTGAGGAATTAATTTTTATCTTCAGAATTTGTGCTTAACATCTGGCATTTATGGATCTCTTGTTTTATTTGACAGGTTTGGTGCCTTCTGCCGTCCTGGTGGTTACCAAGAAATGAAGCAAAATAATGATAGAAACAAGCTGTTCTTCCAGACGTCAGTGTAAGATCAAACGCATTCTCTATGGAGACTATGAATCAGTGGACTGCTACTGTAATGATTCCACTTAAAGCGCCAAACATGCAATGAATTGATCAATAATTTCATTATACGTAAACCTGTTGATACTGCTTAATAAAGGGTCAAGTGAGTTTTCACAATGATGAACATTGAGAAAGTAGTGTTAGCTTTCTGTTTTGCCACATGGAAAAAATACATTTTCACCAATAAAATCATACTCATCTTAGTTTTATGATTTGAATTTTATATTGGCGTTGGAAGTAAAGGCAAAATCTGTAAACAAACAGAAGCTTCTGAACATTGCATATACAGTGACTATTAGCTCTTAAAATATTCAATATCAAGAATTGAAAAAGGGTTTAAAAACCTTTAACATATCAGTGATAATAGTAGCTTGTATCAGAATTGCACATATATCATATCAAATTACTTTTACTATGTGTTGCAGTGGTTCCTAACCTTCTGATAAATGCACACAGATTGTTTATATACATTAATAATACATTTAATATTAATGATATATTAATAATAGTTTAATAAAAAAAATTAAGGCCCCTGGCTGAGAACCCTAGATGTAAAGCATTAAAAAAGATGACGATGAAAGTCTCTTCAACATCGGTGCAAAGTCAATGAAGTAAAAACTTTATAACATATCTGAATTTAAAAAAATGTTTTGGGTGCATTATAATTTATTACAATTATAAGATGGTGACTGCACAATAAACGGAATTTTAAACATTTAAAATAACTTCGTCGTACAAAATGGTCAACAGAAAAATGTTCACAATACATTTCAGGGAGTCAATAAATTTACTTATTTCACAGATAAATTACTTAAAAAGCATGAACAGGTATATATATATATATATATCTACAAATGCATTTTAGGATGTAAGGTGGCACTTAGTACAAAAAACTCAGGGAAAGAAAGGGTAACATCCTTTAAAAACAATAGGTTTGTACATTTTATCTCTCACTTCTGACACTGGCTCAAGTTACACACTGCTGCGGCTTTTGGAGGATTGAGGATGTGTGAGTGGATCACATGAAGCAGCATCCCAGACCTCTGTTTTTGAAGGGACTTAGCTGGGAGGGTAGTATTGATTGTACTGGTTCCACGGGTTCTGGTAGCTGCCATACCCTTCATACTGTTGCTGCTGAGACACAGGGACAATATTTGTATATAATACACATTTTAAATCAAGATGCATTGCATTTAATCTTTTAAAGCTTTAATTGCCTCCTGCTGGGTAAATGCAGTGCTTTAACAATACAACGTAAATGTGCCATTCAATACTTTACCTGGTACCAGCTGCCATAACTCCCATATGATCCACTCATGTCTCCGCCCATCATAGAGGGAGGTGGTGTTGTCATGGGAACATGAGGCATTGTGGGTGGAGCCGTCTGTGGCACTGTCGAGGCAGATGCATCATCCATTTTGCTCATCTTTTCTGTCTCATCGTTATCACTTTAGGAAAAACAAACACATTTAAAATGCTTTCACAAAACGAAATGTCAAAAGGAGATCTCTGGTTTTGTTCTTTTGAGCTCACCCTTTCTCTGCATCATGTTCCTTCAGCAGTTTCTGGTGCTCCTCATACATGCTCAACACACTGACAATATACAAGACAAATGTTAAGGAACATTTAAAGGGGTCATATGATGCTGCTAAAAAGAACATTATTTGGTGTATTTGGTGTAATGAAATGTGTTTATGCGGTTTAAAGTAAAAAAAACACATTTTCCACAATTTACATTATTGTTTCTCCTCTATGCCCCGACTTTTTGAAACGCTCGATTTTTACAAAGCTCATCGGTCTGAAAAAGCGAGGTGTGCTGTGATTGGCCAGCTATCCAGTGCATTGTGATTGGCCGAATACCTCAAGCGTGAGACGGAAACCTTAGGTGTTACGCACCTACCATGCTGTGATGGCGTGTCCCGGCCGGAACGACAAGACAAAAACATTAAAACCCATTACAAACGAGGCATTTGTTGCATCCAGTGGGGACATAATTATGGCTTATAATGACTTATACTGTCTTTTTACACGTTGTGTTGCATCGCGCCGCGTAAACATAAAACCATGTCTGCATTTGTGACCCACATGTGACGACCGCGGGCTGGACTGCGCTTCATCCACGGTGAAAGCCGATCCGGCGATCCACAGCGCGAAGTTGAAGTATTTCCTCAGCGACCAGCACGGACCAGCTCCAGGCATGATGTAGCGGATATCGTCCTCTTTTGGAAGACCAAACAAAGTAGTTTCGCTTTCACAACGAAACACACAGCGTATTCAGGACATGGTGGCGGCAACAACAATACTACAGCGAGAATAAAAGTTATGCCTTCTTTCTTTGCGTGAACATTTGGGCGGCGTTATGCAAATCTTCCTACATAGTGAGGTAGATATGTGGGGGGCATGTTAGAACGAGCCGTTTTAGGTAGGCGTGGCTGACTCAACTTTTATAAAGAATATCTCTTTGGATTTGAGACTTTAGTCTTTGCAAATTTACAGATCTTCTTTATGCACCAAGAGCTTGTAACACTCCAAAGAGAAAGGAAAAAATAAAATCGCATCATATGACCCCTATAAGTAAACTCAGTAATAATAATACATTTGTAATGTAACATAATATACATGTTTTATCACTTGTGTGAAGCTACCCAGAATATTTTAATTAATTCTGACCTCTGTACTGTGGTCCCAAAGTCCTCAGCAAATTGCAGGCCACGTTGGGAGAAAAGGATTTTGGTCTTTGGGGAGAGAGGAGCAGCAAGGGCTTTGGCCACACACTGCAGAATCCCACCTCCATTAGCCCGCAGATCACCTGACATCTCCAGCTCCAGAAGGTTGTGATACAATCTACCGTTATCCTGAGGATCAAGAGTCATCAAATGTTGGTTTTGTGGTGCATCATATTGTGATAATTTTCTGTAATACCACTCAAAAGTTTGGGGTCGTTACAATTTTATTTTATTTTTTTTAAAGAAGTCTCTTATGTTCACCAAGACTGCATTTATTTAATCAAAAATATGGTAAAAACAATAATATTGTAAAATCGTCGCCTTGGAATTCTAAGGTTCTATGTGACATTTTTGTCAAAATTGAGTTATTCACATATTCTTATTCTGACAAGTTATAATGTAACTTGTTTACATTATGTGAGGTTTCTTTTGTAAGCTGTGTACATTTTGGGCCTTTTTTTTAGAAAAGAAAAAGGTTTCTATCTACAGAAGTCTATGGAACGCAAAAACTTTGAAATCTCAAAACTGCTTGGAATGCAGATAGAACTTTCCAATTCCAAGGTGGCGATATGTTAGTAAAATATAAAATAACTGTTTTCTTTATAATTTTTATATTCATGTTATGGCGAAGCTGAATTTTCAGTGTCACATTATCCTTCAGAAATAATTTCTTCTCTTTATTATTAGTGGTGAAAACAGTTATGTTGATTGTTCCCTCTAAGCTGCATGCGTGCGGGGCCGCACAATTCTTACATTGTGACTGCAGAAGAAATAACGCACAGGACAGAGGCAAAAAATGTGTTGTAGTAGTGTGCAAACTCTACTACATGGGGATGTTTTAGGTAACTAAAAGAATTCACATGTTCACGTTGTTTGAAATGATTTATTTAAAATATTTGTTTTTATATTATATTATATAAGCCTAATAAATAACTGACCTCAAAAAGGGAATTCATGAGCAATAACTGCTTCATTTGTTCATATTAGCTATATTATATTATATTATAAAAGAATTTAACTGTTTTGCATGATTGTTCTGAATTATTTTTAATACAATTTCCTGGTAAGTAACAGCACTGTAAAAAACTGTTTTCTCAAGTAATCTAAAATGTGGGTCATTTAGTTACATCAAGGGTCAAATCAAATATAAATAGCACATTAAAGTTAAACGTTACACACTTTTTGGGTGTGTGCTGTACAGGTCTGGTATGAAGAATGTATTCGCTCAGGTGGCCGAAATGTCTGGGGTTATGCTGCTTAATATTTTTGTGGAAACAGTGATTCTTTAATGAATATAAAGTCCAAAAGAACTATTTATTTGAAATAGAAATATTTTGTAACAATATAAATGTCTTTAGTCACTTTTGCTCAATTTAATGCATATTTGCTGAATAAATTCTTATTCTTTTAAAAAAAAATTTTTTATCTTACTGATGCCAAACTTTTGGATGGTAGTGTGTATAAAATGTCAAACGCTGGTGTTTTACCGGACTCAGCTCTATGGCTTCCTGTAGAACAGTGCGGGCCCTGGAAGGGCTCTTGCACAGCTTATGAAGAAAGCGAGCCAGTTTGATGGAGTAGAAGGCATGGAGTTGGGGGTTGTCTTTACTCTTCTCCACCATCTCCTTCAGCAGTGCCTCCGCCACATCCAAACGTCCTGCTCTCCGCTCCAGACCCACTCTTCTCAGACGCACCGCGGCCAAACCGGGCACTGTCATCTCAAGTGATTCTAGAATACGCTGTGCCTCAGTAATATTACCTATGGGAGGGAAAGGAAATCATGTAATGTACACATTCTGCAGTAGCTGAAACAAGTCCACATTTCTATGAAGTATGTTTTAGATTTTAGGCTAGTCTTTTTTCTATGCTAAACTTATTGTCTCACCATGTTTTTCCTCAAACAAGGCCCACTGAAGGCGGATGCTGTGTTTGTACGGAAGATGGATTTCACAAGCTCTGCGGTACACATTACGCACCTCCTCCAGCCCGTGTGGTGCCAGGTAATGCACATACTGTAACACACATAAATAGCTTACAAAATGCAACAAAAACGTCAACAATATTATAAAACAGATCATCATGATCTTTAATAACTGGTTGTTGGATCTCCCTTCTATGCTTACTTTATTCCAGAATTCCTCATAGAGTGCACAAGCAATGAGACAGCGTTCAAACAGAATTAGTACTCTCTTGTGCCCAGCTACACACTCTTGTTTTGAGCCTTCATGGCCTTCCACAGCAGCCCCTTCAGCATCCACTGCTGCTGTTTCAGCTTCTGCAATCTCCCAGTCCAGATAGCTCTGCCAGGCTTTCAGCTGGGCTCTATCCAGAGGCTTCACATGGAAATAAGGCCTTTTAATCTAGGAAAAAAGGAGAGAAGGAATCAAGTAACAGGAAGGTAAATTGACAGAAACACTTCATACACAAGCCATAAACAGTTCAAGTTTGGGTCAGCAAGATTTTTAGATATTTTTGAAAGTCTCTT